TAAATTACCTGGTACAGGGGCACCAAAAACAGCAAATATTAATAGAAAAATAATTAAGAACGATTTGAACATTTTCAGAATTTTCGTGATAGGAAATTTACAAAATTTCTCTGTTTACACTCAAAAAACGTAATGTGATCTCTAGTGAAACTGATCTAAATCTGTGTCGGGTACAACTTACAAAAACCAGAATCCAAATTTTCAAAATTTTTCGAATTCAAAAAAGTTCAGTGTCCAAATGACGAATTTTTATTCAATGGGTACAAAATACTGGTCATTTTTATTGAAATAAATTTGTCTGTGAACTATAGTGATATAATTTTAAAATGTTGCGAAATCGAAGAATCACAAAACACACAGTGTGAAATTGATCTAAATCTATGTCAGACAAAAAAAATAACGAAATCCGAATTTTTGCAAAAATGACCAGCATTTTGGACCCATACTTGAAAAAAAATTCGTCATTTGGACGCTGAACTTTTTTATTAAAAAAGAATAATAAATTTTTAAAATGGATAGTCGACAATTAATCGAAAACTATCTTGGCGATTTTCGAATTTTTTCAACAAAAAAATTATTTTCAAGCAATTATTTCCAGAAAGAAATCTACAATTTCTAGAAAAAACCCCACCCGGAAATCTACAAAAAAACCTGGAAAACGAATATTGAACGTTTCCAAAATATGAAAACGAAAGACTTCATTTGCTTCATATAAATAAGAAAACCTATAAAATTAAGTAAAACATCATTTCAACAATCTTGAACCAATCAAATGGAAAAATTCAACAAAAGATGGGTTTGGTGAGAATGTGGCAGGCTCGTATCGGTCCCACTTGACTTCTGAAACTTCAATTTCGTTTCTCGATTCTGCTGAAAACTTTGAAATTTCAAAATTTGAAAAAATACTGAATTACCTATTGGTTTAGTTGCTGGAGCAGCTAGCACAGTAATTGCCAAAACAGAAAGAACAATGAGCGATGGGAACATTATAAAAGAAGTTTTGATATGAAAAATTAGTGAAAATTGATCCCTTTTATATGAAAAGTTTTTGTGTACTGTACGATCTTCTGTATTTCACAATATTGTGAAATCAATCTTGTTCGCAGACTCCAAAATAACAAAATAGCCTGTCCAATCAATTTTTTGAATTAAAAAAGTTTAGTGTCCAAATGACGAATTCGTTTTCAAATATGGGTGCAAAATACTGGTCATTCTTTCAAATTTGGATTTCATTATCTTTTTTGGGTCCGACACAGATTTAGATCAATTTCACACGGTGTGTTTTGTGATTCTTCTGTTGCACAACATTTTGAAAACTATCTGGTTCACAGACATGAAAAATACGAAATCCATTTTTGCCGAAACAAAATGACCTGTATTTGGCACCCATATTTGAAAAAAAATTCGTCATTCGTACAATATATTTTGTTCTTTTGGAGTCTGTAGAAAAAGATTGGTTTCATAACATTGTGAAATCCCGAAGATCATACGATACACAAAAAACTTTTTTCATATAAAAGGGATCAATTTTCACTAATTTTTCATATCAAAACTTCTTTTATAATGTTCCCATCGCTCATTGTTCTTTCTGTTTTGGCAATTACTGTGCTAGCTGCTCCAGCAACTAAACCAATAGGTAATTCAGTATTTTTTTCAAATTTTGAAATTTCAAAGTTTTCAGCAGAATCGAGCAACGAAATTGAAGATTCAGAAGTCAAGTGGGACCGATACGAGCCTGCCACATTCTCACCAAATCCATCTTTTGTTGAATTTTTCCATTTGATTGGTTCAAGATTGTTGAAATGATCTTTTACTTAATTCTATAGGTTTTCTTATTGATATGAAACAAATGAAGTCTTTCGTTTTCATATTTTGGAAACGTTCAATATTCGTTTTCCAGGTTTTTTTGTAGATTTCCGGGTGGGGTTTTTTCTAGAAATTGTAGATTTCTTTCTGGAAATAATTGCTTGAAAATAATTTTTTTTGTTGAAAAAATTCGAAAATCGCCAAGATAGTTTTCGATTAATTGTCGACTATCCATTTTAAAAATTTATTATTCTTTTTGAATAAAACTGCTCCAGTACCTAAACCAATGAGTAATACGAACGTTTTTTTTTCAAATGTTGAACTTTTGAAATTTTCAGGAGAATCAAGCAGTGAAATTCAAGTTTCAGAAGTGGAATGGGACCATACATGTCAAGAATTCCTGGAATTAGAGTTGACGAGCAAAAAAACTTGCTCTGTGTTAGGTTAATAGCTTGCCAACCGATACCATTAGATTCCTCTCATGATTTTATATATATAATACGAGCAAGTTGCAAGCTAGATCGTCAAAATTGAGCTGTTTAAAAAATATTGACGAGCACGATCCAACTGGATCCAGGAATTCAAAACATGTATGAATGGGACCGATACGAGCCTGTCACATTCTCACCAAATCCATCTTTCGTTGATTTTTTCCATTTGATTGGTTCAAGATTATTGAAATGAACTATTTTTTTGAATTTTCATAGGTTTTCCTAATGAAGTCCTTCGTTTCTTTTTATTATTTTTCTTTTTATTGTTTTCAATGTTTTTCATCATTTTTGTCGGTTTTTTCCTGAATGTTGTTTTATTGAAACAAATTAAGAATCGCCAAAAAATGTTTTATAGTTATCGACTAAATTTACAACTTTTTCGAAATCAATAAAGTTCAGTGTCCAAATGAGGAATTCTTTTTCAAAATATAGGTGCAGAATACCGGTAATATTTTTCGAAAATTCTGATTTTGTTCTTTTTTGTGTCTGACACAGATTTAGATCAATTTCACACTGTGTGTTTCGTGATTTTTCAATTTCGTAACATTTTAAAATTATATCATTCTAGTTCACAGACAAATTTATTTCAATAAAAATGACCAGTATGTTGTACCCATTGAATAAAAATTCGTCATTTGGACACTGAACTTTTTTGAATTCGAAAAATTTTGAAAATTTGGATTCTGGTTTTTGTAAGTTGTACCCGACACAGATTTAGATCAGTTTCACTAGAGATCACATTACGTTTTTTGAGTGTAAACAGAGAAATTTTGTAAATTTCCTATCACGAAAATTCTGAAAATGTTCAAATCGTTCTTAATTATTTTTCTATTAATATTTGCTGTTTTTGGTGCCCCTGTACCAGGTAATTTAGGACAAACAGACACACAGATTGACATTATTATTTTTTAATTTCAAAAATAATTCCAGTTTTCCAGAAGAAGCAGAAACGGAAAAATGGAATCGAGATGATCCTGTTACATTTTCCCCAGATCCATCTTATCTGGAATTTTTTCATTCTTTTGGTTCAAAATTATTGAAATAATTTATTTAAAATGTATATACATGAAAATTCATCATTTCTTAGCAGCCGCTTCCCATTCAGCCTTTTTCTTCTCCATAACCTTTTTGTATGCCTCCTGATCTTGTTTGGATTTAGTCTTGATAAAAGTATCCAAATCTGTCAAAAGTGTTCCCAGTCTTCCCAAAAAATCGAATCCATTTTTGGGTGGTCCCATACGGGCGCCCTTTGCTTCAGCCTCTTCTGTGATTTTAATGATTCCATCGGCAGCTTCAGAAGACAATCCAGCTGCTAGAAGCTCTTCTTTTTTCTCGGGCACTGAAAAAAAGGATAAGTATGTTTTGGGGACTTTACAAATCAGATTTTTTTTCTATTTTTGATGAACTGTCTTCCTTATATTCCTTATTAATAAAACGCTAGAGGCGTCTGTCCGTCCTCGTGTCCGTCTGTGGACTTTTGAAAAATTTGAAAAATACATACATATTTAGGTGAACCTTTTATTCAGAAAAAGTGAAAAACGAAGCGACGAACCTTTGAAAAAAATAGATTGAATCGCGCCGAAGGCGCACCAGCTTGCTGGTATATCTATAAAATGCTACACGCGTCTGTCCGTCCTCATGTCAGGCTGTGGACTTTTGAAAAACAATAAATATAGATTTAAGTGACCTTTCAAGATAAAGTGAAGAGCTAAGCTACGAACCAACTAGATTGAACCGCGCCGAAAGTACACCACAGGCCTGTGCGGCAACAATTTTTTTTTCGGCAATTCGGCAACTCGGCAATTGCCGAAGAAAAAAATTTCGGCAATTTTCGGCAACAAAAGTTTTGCGTCTTTGGTTGAAAATATTTGTTCCGATTGTGAAAATAGTGCGCTCAACTTGTTAGGCAACTCACGACACACGTTCCCTAGAGATTTGAGACAGATTGGAGAATTTTTTTGATAAGTTTTGACTCATGATATTTATTTTTCTCCTATGCTCACAAATTTGAAGCCCATTTTTAGATCCGATGCAAGTATTTTTGATGATATTGGGACACATTTCCTCCAAAATTCACTCTGAGGGATGATGGTATTCAAAATTTGATTTTTCGAACTTCGAAATCATTTTTTTTTGACTAAAAAAATTGTGAAAATCTCTAAATTCAAAAAAAATTTCAGTTGCCGAAATTGCCGAAATTTTTTTGCCGAAATCGGCAACAAAAATTCGGCAATTTCGGCAATCGGCAATTTGTTGCCGCACAGGCCTGGTGCACCAGCTTGCTGGTAGTTCCATATAAAATTAATTATTCGAAACATTTATACATTTTTTAAGAGATTCAAAACTATATAATTTGTTAGAATTGCTTTAAAAAACTTACTTTTAGTTAGAATCCGCGTAACTGAATGGATGAAAAAGGGCAAGTAGAAAATGTTTTCGAAATTTAACAAAAAAAAGTGAAAAGCTCTTTTATACATTCCGATTTGGGATATGTGCTCCCTTCAAACACACATCACAAAACGAGAGAGTGTATAAGCAAAAGAGACGCAGGCATTTTTACGAGAATTCAGAAATGACTCAAATTTCTGACATTGAAAATGAGTGAGTAACCCATGGAAACGGATTTTGTGATATGTGAAAAAAGGGAATTCGGAAGCACATTCTACGCTCTTTTATTCATCTCTCTTTGTGATATGTGCCCCCTTCAAACACACATCACAAAGCGAGAGAGTGTAGAGGAAGAAGAGATGCAGACGAGAGCTCAGACTTTTATGCGCGATGTCGGCAGGTGAGTAATCCATGGGACCAAAAGTTTCGAAATCCTATTACATTGGATAAATTCAGCGGCACATATCACAAAAATTGGATATATAAAGGACATTAAACGGACAAACAGACACACTGATAGATTTCGAAACAAAAATGGAATTTCAATTTTTTCAAATTTTCTGGGATATTTTCAGCGGAAGAATCTCGTGCGGAACTTCTCTCATTCGGTATTTCCCCACAAGCAGCCGATGGATTAATTCGAATAGGAACAGAAGCTAAGCAATCAGCAGTGAAACCAGATGGAGCCACTCAAAGTCCATTGGAAGTAATTGGTGCAACTTTCAAGTTGTTGGCGGACATGGATGCATTCATGAAGACTCAATCACCAGAAGATCAAGCGGCTGCCAAGAAAATGTTTGAGACGAAGAAGGCGGAGGATGATGCAAAATGGCGGGAATTCATGCAAAATGGAGGAAAATAAATGCAAATTTGAATGTGTTGACTCGAAATTTGAATTGAAATAAAATATCATTATTGCTTATTTTTCGAATTTTCTTTGTTCATATTTAAGTTTTTTTCGGGATTTTCGGCTGAGCAACAATTCTGGAACTTACCTCAAACTTCGAGTTTATCAATCTTTAAAGGAGAAACTGAAAATCCAAAGTTTGAATATTTGAAGAATTTGGTTAATCCGACTATTTTGAGATTCTTAACAATCTACAAATTTCAAATTTAAAAAAAAAACAGCAACAATTGTTACCGTTTCGATTTTTTAGAAACGAGATGAAAAATGATACTGGCGGTTTTTAATTTTTTTTTTTCATACAAAAATGATGAAGGCAGAAAAATTGGAATCTGCAAAATAGAGGAAAATAATTGAAATTTTAAAATGTGTTGAATTGAAATTCCAATTTGAATAAAATTACATTACTGTACAACCTGTATTAGAAGGGCCCCTTTAATAGAAGGCCACCCCCTAATAGAAGGGCCATCCAAAAGAGGCTTGGAAAAATCGGAGGATTGAAATTCTATTTTTCGATGAAAAATTGTTCAATTTTCGGTGAAATTGACAGATTTTCATTAATTTTGTGCGAAAATTTGTCAAGTTTTTCTGTGAACAATTACGGGAAAACTGATCGGAAAAATAGAAGGGCCCCCTCTAATTAAAGGGCCCCTGTAATAGAAGGGCCTTCCGGAGCTACCTTGGAAAAATCGAAGGGCCGGCCCTTCTATTTCAAGGTTTTACGGTCGTTCATTTGTAGTTATATTATTCAGGATAATTTGAAAATAAATAAAAATAGCAAATGGTTTTCATTTGTTGGAATAGAAACCCAAAACTCGGCCAGCAGTTCTAAATTGTAGAAAAATACATTTTTTGATGACCTAGAAGGCTTCTAGTCAAATTTCAATTTTTTGAACTTATTTCTTTCAAGTTTTGCCATTCTTAGACGAAATTATGCACAAAATCAATTATTATACACTGTCCATCAACCTAGTGACGTCACTCCGACAATATGTGTCTTTCTCTCTCACTCTCTGCGTCTCTTCTCTCTTTGCACTCTCTCGTCTTTCCGATTTGCCAGTACATAGATAAGCGCATTTCCTTCTCCTTTTTTTCGATTTTTTTCCTCCAAAAACTATTACTAAAAATGACCCCACTTAAAAACTGCCAAATTTGTCATATTCCAACAAACGGCAAACGCCACTATGGCGTTGTTTCCTGTCGCGCCTGTGCCGCGTTTTTCCGACGTGCAGGATGCTCGAATCGATCGAAAAAGTGCAAAAAACTGAAAAATTGTGTGGCCAAGGAAGACGGATTTTTTGCATGTAAATTTTGTAGACTACAGAAATGTTTGAATGCTGGAATGAGCTCAGAAAGTGAGTTTTTTTTTGTGAAAAATTGTATTTTTTTTTTGGTTCAGAGGTCCCAAATAACCTGAGGGGGTTTTGAAAAGAGAAAAAAGAACTCTAAAAACAAGGGTCCAGAAAAAAGGAACTAGGAAAAATGAAGCTTTTTAATTAAAAAATCCTGAAAAAAAATTGAATTTTAAAAAGCTAAAAATGCAAAAATTCAAACTCAAACATCCAACCACTCGAAAATTCAAAAATTCGCAATTCAAAAATTTGCAAATGCAAAAATTCAAAAATTCAAAAATTCAAAAATTCAAAAATTCAAAAATTCAAAAATTCAAAAATTCAAAAATTCAAAAATTCAAAAATTCAAAAATTCAAAAATTCAAAAATTCAAAAATTCAAAAATTCAAAAATACAAAAATTCAAAAATTCAAAAATTCAAAATTCAAAAATTCAAAAATTCAACGATTCAAAAATTCAAAACTTCAAAAATTCAAAAATTCAAAATTCAAAATTCAAAAATTCAAAAATTCAAAAATTCAAAAATTCAAAAATTCAAAAATTCAAAAATTCAAAAATTCAAAAATACAAAAATTCAAAAATTCAAAAATTCAAAAAACATCTGAACATTCCAAAAACCTTTAAAAGTCTAAAACTTCTAAAATATTTTTTTAAAGCGGTATTTTTAGAATTCTTCATTTTTTCGGGTTCCCTATTTTCTGAAAAATATTTTAGAATGTTTCGACTTTTCAGAGTTTTTGCATTTTCAAATAATTTTTTTGAATTCTCCGAACTCGGGACTTTAGGATTTTCAAGATTCAAAAATTCATTTTCAGGCTTTCAATTCAATCGAGGTGGCTATCAAGTTGCGAAAATCCCAATGACCATGGATACATTTTTGGGAAAACCAAATTTTATAATTTTCCGAGCTTCCAACGAAACATCAAGTTCCAAGAACTTCATTGATGTCCAATATCTTATAGATCGAGTGGCGCAGGTTTTGCAGGAGGTATGCCAGCATTGAAAACATTTTAAATCTTAAAAATCTGAAATTTAGGGTCCGGAAACTCCAATAATTTCAAAATCAAAGCTTGGAAAGCTTTCTCTGGGACTTCGAAACATTCAAGGAACAACAAAATATCCAGATCCCAAAAGTGTTGAAATGTATGGGAAAAATGAGGCACTAGCACAAGTGGAATATGATATTTTGTCAGTGACAAAGTGGGTAACCCATTTCGATGAGTTCCAGAAGCTTCCACATGTATTGAAGGTAATTTTTAGCCCTAACTTTAATAGAATGCCTCCAAACCGTCAACTTTAAGTTAATTTATCGGCTCTTTTCTAGTTTAGAGGTCCCAAAAAAGAATAGAGGTCCGAAAAAAAATTAGAGGTCCCAAAATGAAATAGAGGTCCCAAAAAAAATTAGAGGTCCCAAAATAAAATAGAGGTCCCAAAAAAAATTAGAGGTCCCAAAAAAGTTTAGTGGTCCCAAGAAAAAATAGTGGTCCAAAACTTAAAAATGCACAGATACCGGAATAATGTACTAAAATTTGAATTGTGTAAGAATTTAAAGTTTTGAGGTCTTATAGCAAAATAATTGTTGATGATATATTTTATACTTCTAATAGGCTTAGGAATGCATATTTTCTGACAATTATCTAAGCCTGAGAGACAGCATAATCACGGAGTGATTACTGTATTGCCCAAATTTTTCATCAGTATGTAAATTGGGTTCATCGGCAAGATGCGAGAGAATTGGAGCTAAAATTGTTAGGAGTAGTCATGTCATCCTAACAGACCCTAAAACTCAAACTACTCGCACAGTTCAAATACTAGTACATTAGTCCGAGTATCTGTGCATTTTTAAGTTTTGGA